CCTCCTCCTCCTCCTCCTCCTCCTCCTCCTCTTCCTTTTGGTTTTTCGAGACAGGCTTTCTCTGTGTAGCTTTGTACACCACACTGGCCTCGAACTCAGAGATCCGCCTGCTTCTGCCTCCTCAATGCTGGTACTAGAGGTGTGAGTCACCACTGCTCAGCCAGAACTGCTCTTGAACCCAGCTAGCCCTCCGGGATCTGCATGGCCATGACCACTCTGTCTTCACATGGCTTCTGTTCCAGGCTTCCCACTGTGCACCTTTCCTTCCAAATTCCTCTGCTGAAATCCTGTCTTGCAATATGATGAGACCAGGTCTCTGGGAGGTGACTATATTAAGGGGATGGAGAGAGCCCTCATCAGTGTGCTCAGTGTCCTTCTAGAAGCCTCCCCAGTGAGCTGCCTTGACTTTTTCATTGTGTGTGGACACAGCAAGAGGCCACCACCTATGAAACAGGAAGCACACCCCATGAAACACTCAGCCTGCTAATGCCTTAGGGGTCCTGGCTTCGAGCCTCTGTGCCTCTCTGCTATGTTTGCAGGTCACCCAAGTTATAGTAGCCTATCTGAGTGAAGACAAACCATCTGTGGTGTTGATTGGAACTCTCATCTGTGCAGTATGAGCCATCTCTCCTATCATCCTTGTTTTGTTTGGCCAGATGATCAGCAAGCTGGGAGTGTTTACTGACACTCTGATAGAGAGGGGAATCACAAGCCAAGGAAGCTAATGCATACAAGTCCGTCTTGGTGAACCAGTGAGGTTATTCGTGTTCCTGACAGGAACATGGGTGACTCAATAGTGGCTAGTTACGACACCAAAAAATCCTACCCAGCCTGGGTGATGATGCATCCCTGGGGCTACCTGCCCAATCTGCAGACAGTTCTCCTGAAGAGTCTCCTCTTTCTTAACAACTGCCTCCCTGCTTCTGTGACCTCAGGAGGCCCAGTGAGTCCTGAGACTTTCTTATGTCTTTCCTGAGCCTCCCACCTCCATTCAGGAGGAAATGCTTTAATTGGAAGGAAACAGATTCTCCGTAGCATTAGTCAAGGAACTGACCTCACTTTCACTCCCCCAACTTCTCAGAGCCTCATCTATTTGTCTTATTAGGGCCCCATGGACCTTCCCAGCATGCCCAGCTGTTGTCTGTGTTCTCACAGCCTTTGGAAATAATTGTGATTACCTAGAATGAGGCCAAAGATGCTAATAAAGACAACCAAGATGGGGAGGGGCTAGTAAAATGGCTCTGTGGGTAAAGGTGATTGCTGCTAAGCCTGTTGGTTCTAGAGTTCAATCCCAGGGATCCACATAATGGCAGGAGAGAAACAATTCCCAAATGTTGTCCAGTGGTACATGTGCAGCCAAATTAAAAAAACCCATAAACACACACACAATCAAGGACTAGAATCTGTACAGCCATGTCAGAGGCCACAGTGAGGAGATCTTGTGTGAATCTCATGATATAATATACAATAAATATAGCATTAGAAGTACCAGTCTTCAGAAAAAAAACTCAGCACTTTAAAAGTTCAAAATCTCTTAACTGTGGCTTCCTATAAAATTCAAAATAAAGTTACACACTTCTTATTTCAAGAGGAAAGAAGCAGGGCACAGTTAGTATCAGATCAAAGCAAATCCAAACTCCAACAGTGTAACTAGTTCAGCGTCTGGCATCTGGGACTCCATCACGAACCAGGCTCCAAAGGGCTTGGACAGTCCCAGCTCTCTGATTCTGCCACCGCAGCATACACTGATGGTCCTGCATACTCAGGTTAGCTCCATCCCACACTTGTCACTGTCCCTAGTAGTCATTCCATCAGCTGGCATCTCCAATATTCTGGGGCCTCCCCTGGAGCTAAGGCTTCACCCCTCACCATTGCCAAGCCTCAGCTCCTCTCCATGAAACCCTAAGTCCCAGGGTCGCCACTGCAATTGAGGCTGCACCTTCACCAGTATCTTCTGTCTGGGCTCCCCTTAGGGACCCTAACTCTGCCCCCATGGCATCAAAAATCTCAGATCCTCTCCACGGCCCCTTCAAGCCTGAAGCCTCCACTACAGCTGAGGCTTCTCTGAGGGGACTCTAGCCCTGCTTGCCATAGGTTGCTCTCTTGAATCCCCTATACCTGCAAACTAGGAACACGTGGGGAGATTTCCACACCTTACTAAGTTTGACTGAAAGCTTGAGATGTTGCCCTCTGAACCACTGCATCTGCATGCCGACCCCAAGGAAACACCTAGAAGATTCCTCCTGAATGGTGCTGGTCTCTTATTAATCACAGCTTACTTTTCATTCCCAGCAAACCTGAAATGAGACTTGCAGCTTAAAATACCACATGAAGGAATGGCCCTGATAGGGTCTCTGAGAGACTCTCAAACTCCCCCTCAGATACCCATAAGCCAGGTCTCTATTGTCTACTCTGCTGTCGGCATTATCCTCCAACCTCATATAACAGCAGCCCACCGAGTCTGAGGACTGAACAGCTTCTTTCAGCCAAAAGCTCCCAAATCCTCACACAATCCTCCCCCAAAACAACCCTGGCAGCTCCAACACAGCAAGTCCCCACCCACTTCCTGAATCTATTTCCCACCCTAGTTTGTTTTCTGTTCCTGTGATAAACACCATAACAAAAATCAACTTAGATGGGGAAAGGGTTCATTTGACTTACAACTCACACTTCATCACAAAGGGGAGCCAGGGCAGTAACTCAAATGGTACAGAAACCCAAAGGCAGGAATTGTAGAGGCCATGGAGGAACCCTGCTTAACTGGCTTGCTCCTCCCAGCCAACTTGCTTTCTTAACGACCCAGGACTACCTGGCCAGGGATGATACTGCCCATAGGGGGCTGGACGATGCCTACATCAATCACCAATCAAGTAAATAACCTGCAGCCTCGCCCACAGGCAGGTCAGTGGCACACCCTCCTGAAGCCTGCACAGCTGCTTCTCCTGAGATGAAACTCCCCAGTGTCAGGCCTGGCTCCAGGTGGAGCCCTTTTCAGATGTTTTTTGTTTTTTTTCTGACCTCTCTATACAAACTCATTCTTTATCATTTCAAAACCTCCACATGTCTAAAATGGTCACACTCAAGTGCTCAATTTATCCTTGCTCTGAGTCTGGAGCAGGAGGAGACTTAAGCCATTTCGTACTTGACTTTGAGTATCTGCTGCAGTGTTAGGGGCTCACATGCTGATGAGGTGGGTTTGCCAAGTGTCAGGACACATTACAATTCTTGTTTCAATGGCTGCAGCATACATTAATACCACCCCATCCCCAGCCTCCTGAATGCACTTTCTTTTGGTCCATTTCTGTCTTTGCTCTCCACAGAGCTCGTGTTGCAATAAACACTTGTAGTATAAGTGGGATGCTGGGCAGGCTCACTTAGCTTTTTCAGGTCATGTCCCATGCCTCTTGGCAAAATTGTGTCAACTGGGCTAGATCACGGCCCATGAAGCAGAGCCCGGCTGTTACTGGGGAGTCACTGTGGCGTTCAGCAGTGACTAAGCTCTGCCTTGTAGTCCCAATAATGCAGAAGACTGGTGAAAACACTGAGTATGATCATTCACACACCTCAGCCAGCCACAAGCACCAAAAAAGGCTCCCAGCCCAAAGCCTGCCAGAGGACATCTTACAGACTCAAAGGAGAAATCTCGGCCAACACTGAAGTGCCTAGAAATGAACTCAGTATGGCTCGGCTCATTGAGACAAGTGCCTCTTAAGTCTGAGGGCCTGGGGGAAACGGAGCCCGACCCACCTTGC